TCGATGGAGGATCTTTGGTACAGAACCACTAGAACAACAGTTCACGCGCACATGACCAGCAGGAGTTTGTGCTTCTAAGCTTTCTCATGTGGTATGCCTGAGAAGCTGCGGAGGGGCGCAGTCAGTTGCCCCGCAGATGTTCTGTTGGCCTAATGGGTACACCAAGTTGCAGGTCGTTGCTGAAAGCCCACTCGCGGAAGCCAGCCATCACCCGTCCAGCATTCTTGCGGAATCTTTCTTGCCCCTCCCTACGCACGCAGCCTGGTCTTGGTGCTCTGTCTTCCAAGCTTCATAAGTTTACTTTCAAGCATGCAAGTCGCTGGTTTACGTTATGTCATGCATCGTCCATTCTGCGAGATTGCATCTACTTTCGCTGGGTGTCCGATGCGACTGCCGCAGGTCACAAAGGTGGTGCATGCTGGCTCCTCGATGGAAATGTCACGGAGGCGGGGTGCCATGTGCAATGCACGCTCAAAGTACTTGAATTTCTACATCGACGCCCTGGGTTGGGTTTCGACAACTTGCAGCTTCAACTGTCAGCTTCCCATAGCCGCAGCAATGCGAGGTGCTGAATCCACTGGCCACATCCGGGCCGAAGGCAAGGACCAACTCAGTGGCTCTTGGCTTTCAACGTTCAAAAGACAGAACTCAGAAAGCCCCGAGACTCAACAGAGTTGCTAGAGTATCAGCGGCTATCAGTATGTGGTGCGTCATCATGACAAGTTCGATTGAATTTCCAGAACGAGTAATCATGTCGCGAAGATATTCCATCGAATCAGCATTGCTGATCTCCAGATATTTCTGATGATTACCAACTGTCGTAGTCTACCAGTGGTTCGCTTAGTTTGTCTGTTTGTCAATGTACAGGGTTCCAGGACTTCTACGATTTCACTGAGGTCCCTAGTTTCGCCAAGTGTCATTGACATCATCATGGCTGCATATCGTTCAACGGCTAAGCACTCCCAGTCTTCTCCAGCATCAAACTAAGCGAGCCCTAACTCGGGCAGTGCGAGATGATCCTTTGTGGTATTGCTCACAAGGCTTGGCAGAAAGGCGCAATACCACTGACTGTCTGCACAAAGAATTTGTCAATTTACAAGGAAGCATGTGCATGTTGTTTCCTTAAAATGATTATAATGTTGCTCTTTTCTGTTTTGCAAAGTTATTGCCAGCTTCTGAAGTCTGATATGGCATGTGTAGTGCACCTTCACGACAATGACAGAGCCGAGTGAACAGAGAAGGCATTGAGGTTGGTCCATTGCTGCATGTGCGGATGTCTTTCTGGCACAGAATGGTGTTTTGCTGGATGGATGTCTGTATGCACTGCATAGGCTGTTTGTCTGTCTATCCGTGGAACCAGCCGTCAGGTGTGTCCGGCAGGGAGCAGCGAGCGAGTCAAGGCTCGTGAAAGGGTGTGGGTTTGGGGCTTTGCTGCTTTACATTTAATGCTCCCCAGATGACGTTGCAACGTGAGGCATCTGCATGGATGGTTCATCCGTCTGCACAATCACCGAATCCCCAACACAGGAAAGTCACGGAGTTGAAGTACATACTTGACAAACACTTGAGCAAAGGCGGAGCATACGTAGCAATGTAGCAACAACATAGGTTCACTTGCGGGATGAGAAGCTGGACACAAGATAGAGGGTGATGGCTAGAAGAAAGTCATAGGAAATAAGAAGCCAAGGGTTGGCTTTGGTCAGGCCCAAGCTTTCATCGGTTCAATTTGGGAACTCTAGCCATGAGGCTGCAGATCTCTGCGCAGTGCTCACGGTGAGCCTCCCTCATTTTTTCCTTTGTTATAGGAAGACAGGCTAATTGTAATGATATACGGTATTGTGATTGAATGCAAGGTTTTTGTCCTTCCCTTCCATTTCTGTTTCTTGGGCTACATGTTCAAGTTCGTACCAGGCAGAAGGTGTTTCAAAACTGCACCACCGGCATAATCGCAGCGTGGTGCACGAGAGAGAAAGAGGGAGAGAGACACGGACAGAGAGTAGGGGCCTGATAATGACATTCATGTTCCGGACTGTCTATCAGGAACAGTCTAAGGCCCTCTGCTCGTTCGTACTGCTTGAATACAAAGTTTCTGTCCGTAGAGAGAGCCGCTCGTGTCCCTCTTGATATGTCCCACTGCCAGGTCATGTCAAACGTGGTCAATTCCGTGCTCGCCCCAACAGTGGCGCCCACAAAGGCAAGCAGGGACTGATCCCTTGTCGTGCCGCTCCCGCTGTAATAACTGCAGCCAGGATGCAGTTGATTTCTGGTCTCGTTGTTCCTGTGTGATGGGATGGTAAGTAGCATGTCACTTGCATCGCGCGAGGCTCACGCCTTTCATTTGTTCCTCTTCCGTGTCTTGCCTTCTTTTCAGGGGACCTCTAGCGAGGATTGAATACATGCGTCGGTAGGTCCCGGATCGATCCCCTCTGCTGGATGAGATGGTGGGATTGGTTATCGTTTGCATTCACACCATCATGGTACGAGCGAGACACGCGGGTTCAACGGAGAGTTCAAAAGCGAGTGACAGCTAACGCCCGTTGCAAGTAGCATATGTCAGGACAGGTCGACCGATTGCTTCGCGTACACTCAGTACTTATCCGAGTGAGTTGGCGATAAGTAGCTGTTCCCACATGCCCCATACCTCATTCTGGCACAGCATGCATCAGCTTTTCAAACCCCTGAGCGTGAAGCCACCGCCAGGTGGACGTGCCAACTTCGGCGCTCTCCGTGGACACTTCCACCGCGGCTCCTGCAAAGGCAGCAACGAAGAGATTCCGTATCGTAGCGATTTCTACTACAGCCAGACTCGCTACTGACCTACTCGGTTTGTCGGGTTTATCGAACGTGTCCTTATTGTGTCTTCACTCCCTCCCGTGTCCTCTTGTGGTCGTGTCCGAACATGTGGTTTGTGCACTCAAAGCTTGCACAGTTTCGTCCATCAACTGTATGGATTCGTTTAGATAAATCGACGTCAGCTGAAGCATGAGGAAATGAGTCCGATGTCCAAGCATGAGTGCAATTCCACGGAAGTCAACAAGATGCTTAAGAGTGAGTGAGCGACTGGCAACGATAGTAGTGTCTTCGTTTGTAGGCTGCCTCAGATTCCGTGTGTGGAAGTAGCGGTTCCTCTCACGGCAATGATCCCGTCGATTTGTCGAAACTGTTCTTCTTGCCTTCTGTTTGGTCGTTTCTCAATACGATCTGTGCCGCCTAGCGACTTGTTGTTGATGACGCTTCGATTCTTGGCCAAAGAACCAGTATCTACAAAAGTCTTAGGTGGCATAGGGCTCAAATCCACGCCGGATGAATGGGATGGGATCTCTGATCTCGACACAGAGCCTCACCTGAAACAACATGCAAGCTGCAGTGGTTTTATGATTGTTTTACGTCCAAACAAGATGTCAAGAAGCACAGTCACCGAGAAACAGAAGCACCGAGGGCTTGCCTTTGATCAAACTCGTTTGACTGGCAACCCGCTTGGCTTTCCAAAGTGTGATTGCCCGCTGTGTTTCGGAGGAAGACTGTCATGATCAGAGCGATCCCTCCCATATTCCTTATTCTGGAGGGGTGCCTGCGATGTCCAAGCGTAGAAGCTCTTGCGCAACAACAAGTGCTCCATAGTGCTCCATCCAACCCCTCACCTCTGCAGGAGGCCTTTACCAACAGTGCCGGCGCGGGTGCCAAGTCTACTGTGAGTGTTTCTGTTTTGGAAATGGTGTGGCTTGCTACAGAGCTACGAGTACCAGGGCCCATTCATGGTTTGAGGCATGAGATATCTTTAGATGATGTTTCAGGGGCCTGGTACGAGTTAAGGCAAGCTTTGGACGTTTCAAGTTTGAAACGATTAGACCTACAATACACCTATAATATACGATAAGATATCAAGACCCACGAATGGTATACCTTTAGCACACCCATCAGTGAAGGTGTTTGGGATGGATGGAGCCCCTGATAGGTATATTTTATTAATATAGGTATTTTTGGTAAATCATGGTATATTATCTCCGGACCTCTTGCTGCAATGGTCCCATTGCATTTTCTGAGGGTGCACTGCTGTTGTTGATGGTCCGTTTGTGGTATAGATGCAGACACGATCAGCTCCATATGGGCAGCTGGATCTTCATGGTGTTTTGTGTGCAAAGGAATGTGCATCGTCAGTGGCTGAACTAGAAGCTTCGTTCGGGTCGAAACTTCTTCTGCTGAACTACGGCCAGGGGTGTATGGTGGCTCTAGGTGCACAGCCTGTGCAGCATCAGCCTTCGTATCCAGAATCCTGCTAGAATCCTGCTTCTGTTTGCTTTCAGGAGCATGCTGTGGGTGCAGTTCCGGTTATGGTGGGACAGGTTCGGACTCCCAACAGGGCCATGCATGGTGCCATTTCGAGTCGTCGCCGTCGTCATCGTTGCCGTGCTCGTGTCGCCGCCGAATTCGTCGTCACAGTAGCAGCAGCAGCAACAACAACAACACAGCAGCAGCAACAGGAGTAGGAGTGGGAGTGGGAGTGGGAGTAGGAGTAGGAGCAGGAGTAGGAGTAGTGGTAGGCAGTAGTAGTCGTTGCCATCGCAGTAGTTGTATCAGTAGCCGTCGTAGAGGTAGTAGTTGTGGTAGCAGAGCAGTACGTAGTAGTCGTCGTAGTGGGAGTAGTGGCAGTAGTAGTCGTCGTCGTAGGAGTACAGCGGCAGCTGTAGTGCACTTTGCGTGACTAGCAAAACCATACTCACCATGAGGAGCCAAGATTCACCTGTTAGAAGCTTGGAGTTGCTTGGAACTCTGGAGGTTGTGGCTCCAGTGCTGGACTGCGATTGGCGGCGACGGCCCTTCGTGGGCACCTGGTGCCTTTCCCAGCAGTCAAGCCACCTCAAACCAGATTTGTCGATCCACCAGTCAATCACCGGTAGGGAAGATGTTTCAGACTCGTCGGTAGGATGTTTGTGGCCGTTGGGTTTTGCTTCCAGCTAACTCAGGGTGGCCCGACTTTGGCCGTGATTGTCTGCAGGACTTGGTCGTGGTAAGGCGCAATTGGAGTGACCTCCTGAGGTACAGGCCGCCTGACGAGCTGCCTTCCGCTGCTCTCCCAGTGATCGTCCCAGAGCATTTGAAAGTGCTGTCCTTGCCTTCGAACCCTGCGCTGCAATGCCTATTCACTGGATCGCTGAACATGCCGAGCGAGCGAATTCCATCGGCCAGCCTATCGGGCCTAGGCTTCTGGGGACTTTTCGCTTAGGTCGGCCGCAGTGCATCCTTCGAGGAAGGGCCAGTGGACAGTTCTGCGAGCGCCTCGTGAGAGACCCGGACACGAATTGTTTGCGTTCATGTCTGCAGGAGCTCGGGCAAGGATCGCATTCACAGAGTGCAAGGACTCGATTCCTTTTTTCAAGAGGGAACCGCGACAACTGAGGCCATTCCCGAATCGCAGTGGGCCGGGAGCCCGGGGCAGCTCTCCGCCTTCGAGCGAAAAACACCCGAGGCGGCCTGCAACAGCACTCACCCGGAGCTTCCAAAGGAGGCCAGGTGAAGGAGGAAATCCCAAGAATTCCCGCACATCTCCAGAAGTCCGAAAACCTCAGGCGATAGAGCCTGGCCCACCAACAGTGAAGATGGCACCGACCGTACTCTTCACCTGCTGTATCTATGAGTCTAATCTCGTCTGTCTCGGTACATGTAGGATAAACAGGTTCCCAACTAGGTGCGCGGTTTCGCATATCAGCCACGCGCTGGCGGTGTCCACTGAGAGATCTGAAAGCCGGAGCCCCCGGTGCTCTTTGAGGGATCGCGGGGAGGATGAAGGGCTCGCGGGACTCTGGGGGGACTCCTGGTTTCAAGCACTTCTCAAGGCTCTGAGGGTTTAGGGTCTTCAGACCACGAACCACCTGCCTCGCCTGGTGTAGGAGTTTAGGGTTGGGCTGAGGCTTATCTATGGGGCTAGACTCTCAAGGCCTGAACAGACATTGCTAGAAAGGCATGCAGATGATATGAGGTTTCGGCTAAGGGCGAGTTCATTCCCAAGCTCTCGCTGGATCCGTATGTTGGGCAGTCAGGGCTGATACGATTTTTCGCCGGCATGCGCCAGCCGCAGCCAGCCGAGGCGGCGGAGGACGGCTCCGGCACAAGCCTCAAACACAATGAGGTGCCGGCGTCTCAGCTATGCAATGTCGTGCAACAGCCCACGATGGCCGTGAATCACAAGCACTAGCCGTGCGCAACGTCGTACTTCGCAAGCGCACGTGCAGTCTCCCACGAAAATGTATACCAGACTTCTTTGCACCCGCTCGTGACACCCAGCGACCCTTTGAACCGTGGACTGAAGGTATGATGTGCGACTATGCCAGGGCTGTGTTCGACTGTCGTGCATCCTGTCTTCCTGCTGGCTTGTCATGGTGATGTTCCTGCTACTATCTGCAAAATCGCAGTCCCTGCTTTTGCCAAGGGAGGAGCGAGCAGCCAAGTTCCAGGCGGCAATTGCATGCAGCTGCGTGGGGGTCGTGGGGGCAACTCACCGAGATGCTTTTGTTGCCACTGTCGTAAAGGCCCACATGGGCTCGACGTGCGTCAACAGATAAGCGGGGGTTTGTTTCGATCCTATTATGTAGGGTTATTAGTAGGGTCTTGTATCCTGAAATTCCAAAATATGAGGATGCGGGGGGAAAGCCTTAAGGCCTCAGTGCAGATGTCTGCAGAATCGGTTGCAGTATCCATCCTTTCCCTTGTAAATGCAACGACTTTGGCTGACGCCTCGCCAAGTATGCGTGCCAGTGCCGGAAAACCAGACAGGTCGGTTATTTTGACCCCAGCTCCATCAGAGCAGGTATTACCATGGCGGCCGGAGTCCCAGCCATGACCTCAGCCCAACGCATGAGCATCGGCCTAATCCGGCCATAATCCTAAACAGAGCGGCATGTTGCTGCTGCTTTCGATGTCTTGCTGCTGTGAAACCACAGGGCGGTGGGGAACGGCTGCACCGGGCCATGATCTCAGGTGAAGAAAATTTCCGTGCCTACCACATCTTCATGAAGAGCAAGGCAGAGCCTAGGTTGCGAATGTTGTTTGCCACAGCGTTTCCGAGGACATTGGCAAAGATGTATACTTTAAGGATCCGCTGCCCAATACGTAGAATACTTGTAGAGCCGCGGACAAAGAGAAAATTCTGCCAGAAGTGCGCTCAAAGAAGTCAGTATGTTCAGCAATAGCGGAAAAAGAGAGGTAATAGCAGAAAAGAAGATAGTAATGGCGTGAACCTGGTCGATGGTAATAGCGCAAATCTTGCTCACAGTCCCAGCGCAAAACTCCACCCTAAACCGTCCTTTGCCGGACCAAGGCAATTTTCCTGCGAATTGGAACTTGCTTCGGAGTATTGCGGCCTTCAGGGGTAATCTCGCATCTGATCATAGCTGTTCCATACTGTGTTGTCTTTGCTGGTCGTTGTTACTTTTCGGATATTTCGGCTGTTCCAGCTGTTGTTACTACCATCCGCAAGAATAAGACGTCTGGGTCCCAGGGGTTCTTGCACTTACGTCCCTAAGTAGTGAAAGATCGGACCCCGATAGGGACCCCCAAGCAGCCCCCAATTCGCGTGAAGTCTAGCGCACCCCCGTTACCCCGGCCCCCCCTCCCACCCACTCCGTGTCCGTGAACTCGGGAAGTGTCCGGCACCCTCCTCGGAAGCCCTGATGACCCACATCTCGGACACTTGGAGCCTTCGATGCAAGGGTAGTTTAGTTAGCATGCCGTCGAAAACTTCCCAATCCTGACACCTTTGGTGCGATTCAACTTGCTTGGTGACCGAAGTTCGGGGCGTTCGGGTAAAGCTTTAGATATACAGTACGGCTATTCCTTCGGTCTCGCTCTCCTTCTCTCCCCGCTCTCTCTGCCTTTCTTTCTCTCTCGGTCTCGCCTCTGCCCGTTTTGATGTAAGCCGTGAATCCCAAAAGAGAAGAATGCTGAATCAGGAGGATCACTTTCTCGACTTAGGGCTCCGTATGCTTTGCATAATGCATCTGGACGCTGAACCGACATCGGCATTTCGGCAACTGGGACTTACACAATATATATCACGAAGCACGAATGCTAGCTGCTACTACTCGTACGTCTAGCAGCTCCAGCCCTGCAACAGAGGGCTTTTGGCGGCTACAAACACCAAAAGCACGATTCCAGTTGGCAAGTCTCTTTAGATCGGCTGCTCCAGCCCCGCAGAACAGGCGGTAATCATTTTTTAGGTTTTCGGCGGCTACAAACTCCAAACACGATTCCCGCACGCAAGTTTTGGGAAATCTGCTGCTCCAGCCCCACAAAAGGGGTGGCAATCGTAGTTTTTAAGCTTTCGGCGGTTGAAAAACACCAAAAATACGATACCCACTCGCGAGTTTCGGTAAATTCGCTGCTCCAGCCCCGCAAACGGGCGGAAATCGTATGTTTAAGGTTTCGGCAGTTAAAGGCACCACGTCCCACGCGGTCCTCCCGAATCGCTGCCCCAATCAGACGCTCATGGACGTCCGGCTCTGTTCTCCGGTCTTCTCTGCCCGGGAATCTCTGTGGTGTGCTCCCGTTCTTGACGTCGCTAAAGCACACAGGCGTGTCCGGATCCAGGACTGCGATCAGGGTCGTCTTGGCTTCAGGTCAATTTCAGAGCCCCGCCGAGAAGTTTTTACTGGAGCAGGGTAGCTGTGTCACATCGGTACATCTCCCATTCCGGTTGTTTTGTGTCGATGACCTGCTCGCCCTCCTTGAGTCAGTCAGCGCTCCGTTCTGGTCCGGCCTGCTGGTGGTCCTCTTGCTTATACTGCGGGTGCTTTTATTATGGCACGAGGCCAGCATGTCCCCTCGTGTCACGCGGATCGGCTGGTCCTTCGACTTTGAAGCAGGAGCGCATCTTGAAACTGATCCGGTTTCTCCTGTCCTGACACTCCTGTTCTTTGACGGACTTGGAGCGTGTCACAGGGAAACTGCTTTGGGTTTCCGGCCCTTTTTCGCACCCTTCGTCCCACTTTGACTCCTTTGTATCTGGACCACACGTTTCCGCCTGCCACGTGTGCCCTGACTCCGGACCAATGGCATGCGTTTCGGCCCACCATTTCATCGTCTCTGCAGATCACTATGAATTTGGATTTTGGGAGTCTCTGATTACCTCCGGTTTTCCTGTTCGCTCCCTTCGTCTTTTCCCCACGTTTTCGGAAACGAAGCATTCACGGACGCGTGTACCTCTGCGGACGCTACCGGCCTGTGCGGCTATGTACGGCTATGTACGGCTATGTACGTCTTGCGTCCGGTGCGTCCCTGTTTCCGTTGTCCGGTCAAGCCTGGCTCGGTATGTCTTTGATTTCCGGCAGGAGACCCCCTGTTTACTAGACCATTAAGAACGCACCCAAAGTTTCAAGGGATGCGCAGCCCAGGCAGTGCAAAAAAAACAGAGGCTCCAACATTGGCTGGGGGCACCGTCTTATTGTCACTGATTGCTTTCAAACCTTGGTTGACAGCAATATGGAATGCCACAGTTGGTCTTGGAAAAGGCCTGATTTGGTGTGCCAGGACTGTGGGCTGCAAGGCATGCCATGCGGTGCGCATTAGGATCAGGAGGGAAGGGGTGTAAACAAACCCACGTCCTCCTTATCAAAATCCAACGTTTGGAGTGTCAGACTTGCGGAGGTAAAACCTTTATTTTGAGGAACGGCAAAATCCATCAGTTCTTTGTTTTGGTGAACACGTTCTCACGAGATCGCCTGTTGACAAGACCCACAAACCACTGCATCTTGAAACCGAAGAATTCAATTTGCAGCCCTGAGCCCGTTGTGCGGAACTGCTGAGCACAGACCCTCAAACCATACAACCCGAGGCTTTGAACCTGAAGCTCCAAGCCTCAGCTCCATCGAGCCATGAACCCAAAACTCTGACCCTGAAAAAGGTGGTCAAAGTCAGCTACCTCGCCCAGGCTAGCACCAAGACTTGTGTCTCGGGGTTTAGGGTCCAGAGTTCAGGTTTAGACGCTTGGCTTTAGGCCTCAGGGTTAGGTTTATGGGCATGGGGTTTGAGGTTGAGGCCGGCTGATGGTAGAAGCCTGCTGTTTCATCCTTCATCTCTCATTCGATGGCCTGTGGAGCATACCCGAAAGACGGTGCTCCAGCCATCTCAGCTGGTATGATGGTCTTGATGATAAGGATGTGGGTGCTTGCCATGATTGGTCTCAAACGTCGATCAACCTTGGGGTGGTGGCGGGGTTGGAAGTGCTAGCTAGTACGGTTTACGAAGTTTACGAGCTTCATTGACCTCCGTGCCTGGTCATCAAAGGCTTTGATAATCCAAGCACGGTCTTTACTTGGTGACCCAAGGTCTCCCAAGTGAAGAAGCTGCTCACCAAAACAGAGACCGCTCGCTGCTCAGAGCATCGGGCAAGTCGGAAGAGTTGGGATTTTTGCAACGATCCTCACTCTGAGGAATGGGCACGAAGATGGCAGGCGAGACGCCGGCGCGGTCCACAAGTGCGACAGGTGGACAACAACCCGTTTGCCACTCGCCGGGGGAACGGGAGTCACTTGTGTCTTTTTTGTGTCACTTGTGTTTTTTTGCTTGAGTCACTTGTGTTTTTCTTCTATTGTTCGGAATCAACAGTCTCGAACGAGAGGCCCCTAATTGGGACCTGAAATAAGACACCCTCAGCACTCTCAAGTCGATGTGGAAGCCCCAAAAGGAGTAAACCCAGACCGAAACCATAATGAAAGAAGGCAGCTGTAAACCCAGGCCGATGCCCTTAAACGAGTAAGCCCAGACACAAACCCTAGAGTCCTAGAGTAAGAAGGCCCGATCCCTGAAAAGAGTAAACGGACCCCGAAACCCT